GGTCGGCGGCGTCGCCGTTGGCGGCGGGGTGACGCGGCGGCGCGGCCTGGCGGCGCCCGCTCGGCCCAGATCTGGGCCCTTCGGGCCCCATCTGGGCCTGGGCGGGCCGGCGGTGGGGCGGGTCGGCTTCATGGCTTCCGTGAGGCGGGGGAGAGACGATGAGCGGCAGGGTGCTGGTGGCGCCATCGCCGGCTTGCTGCAGCATGACGGCGGGGCTTAGCGGGCCCGTTTCGGGCCTGGCCGGGCCAGGGGTGGCCTGGCATGCCCTGCTGCCGCGTCCGGACGGCTACCGCGACGGTGCCGGAGGTTCTGGCCTCCCGCACGACGGCGGTGGAGGTGGTTCCCTCCCGTTCGGCTTTGGTGCTGCTTCTCCCTCCGCGGGGCGCTTCTCCCCGGTCCTCTTGGCCTCGTGTTGGTGTTCGCAGTGAGGCGACGTGGGTGATGGCGCAATCGCGATGGCGCATGGTGGTGGGCGGCGGTGTGGCTGGTCGGCTCCGGTCCGTGAGGCGGTGGGGATTGGAGTTCGGGAGAAATCCTTGCCGGTTTTCGGCCCGATGCGGTGACACTTGCAGGTGCCATCATTCCTTCCTAGAGGGTGTCGGTGATATCCATCCCCCACCTCCCTCCGCGTGCCGGGGAAACCCTAGGACATGTTCGGACAGCAGCGTCGTCGGCGTCGCTTTCCTTCTTGGAGGTGCTGTTTTGTACGCGGTGGTCCGGAGCCTCGGGTTGTAGTGGTTTGGGTCTGGTGGGCGTTGCGGTGGCGGGTCATCCACGCTCTGTCGAGCTGCCGTTGTTGACATTTGCTTCTTCTTCTTTTTCTTTTGGGCTTGTTGTGCTGTTCGCCCCAGCGATCCTGTATCGGTGTTGGTTGCTTTGGAATACAAAGCGGGGGGAAACCCTTTTTCGGTAATGATGGGAGAGAAAGAAGCTACAGTGATGCTTTTTCATTGTAGAATGGAGCATATGTCTTTTGATAAAATGACTAAGGTCTTTCCTGATGTAATGTGTGGGGTGGATAAGAACAAGCTTTTGTGTGATGCTTGTGAGTTTGGCAAACACACAAGGACATCTTATGTGAGTAGAGGGATTAGGAGTATATCTCCTTTTGTACTCATTCATTCAGATGTGTGGACATGTCCTGTTATCTCTGTTAGTGGAATGAAGTACTTTGTTACATTTATTGACCGTTACTCTCGCATGACATGGATATACCTTATGAGGCACAAGGATGAGGTGTTCAAGTGTTTTCTGGATTTTTATGCTTATGTGAAAAATCAATTCAACACATAGATCCAGATTATTCGGACAGATAATGGGACAGAGTATGTGAACAAGGAATTTGGTTCTTTTATGTCATCACATGGTATATTGCATCAAACCTCATGTCCAGATACACCTCCTCAGAATGGAGTGGCAGAAAGGAAAAATCGTCACATCTTGGAGGTGGCTCGATCATTGATGTACACGATGAATGTGCCAAAAAATTTGTGGAGTGAGGCTGTAATGACAGCTACATATCTCATCAACCGCATGCCATCCAAAGTGGTTGGGATGAAGACTCCATGTGAAATGCTGCTAGGTGAGAACAAGTTTGTGGTCCCACCCAAAGTTTTTGGATGCACTTGTTTTGTTAGGGATCATAGACCCTCGGTGGGGAAGCTAGATCCACGTGCAGTGAAATGCATCTTTATTGGATACTCTTCTGGACAGAAAGGCTACAAGTGTTGGAGTCCTAGTGAGCGACGCACATTTGTGAGCATGGATGTAACATTTAGAGAATTTGAGCCATTTTATGGTGAGAAGACTGACCTCAGCTCGTTGTTTGATCTTGAAACCCCTCATGTTGACGGTGATGGTCAAAAGGGGGAGCATTTACCAAATACTGAGAACGATGAAGTAAGGAGGTCAAAGGTAGTAATTGGTTCCATTCCATGCCCAATGAATGAACCAACATGTGAGAAAACATGGAGAAGGGAAAATGAAGAAAAAAATCTACAAGTGTATACAAGGAGAAATACAAGGAAGGTGCTCACAGAGCAGCAACAACCCTTAGAGATTGTTGAGATCCAGCCTTCGGAGCAGCAGGTACAACCAACAGTACAACAAGGAGACCCTGAAATAGTTGAAATTATTAATCCCTCTATGCCAACAACTGATATACCGTGTAGCACACCCGCTCCCCCTGGGACAGATAGCTATCGTGAATTGCCAATTGCCTTACGGAAAGGAACTCGGGCTAAGGCTGGAAAGCCTCCATCAAGGTATGGCTTTGAGCATGACATGAGCAACTATGTTTCTTATGAATCATTGTCCCCTGCATATAGAGCTTTTGTTGCATCACTACAATCAGTGGACATTCCAAAAGATTGGAAAACTGCAAAGCAGGACCCAAAATGGCATGAGGCCATGATGGAGGAGTTGAATGCACTTGAAAAAAAATAAAAGTTGGGAACTTGTACACCTTCCTAAAGGAAAAGAACTTGTTAGTTGTAAATGGATATTCACGGTGAAGCAAAATTCAGAAGGGAAGATCAAAAGGTACAAGGCAAGACTAGTTGCCAGAGGATACAGCCAAACTTACGGGATTGACTATGACGAGACATTCGCACCGGTGGCAAAGATGAACACCGTGAGGATTCTAATCTTGTGTGCAACTAATTTTGGGTGGCCTCTGTATCAACTAGATGTTAAGAATGCTTTCTTGCATGGTGACCTACATGAAGAGGTGTATATGGAGATTCCACCTGGTTTCTCTACTCCTAGAACTGCGGGAAAGGTGTGCAAATTGAGGAAGTCCTTGTATGGGCTCAAGCAGTCTCCACGAGCGTGGTTTGATAGGTTTAGGCATGTTGTATGTGATATGGGGTACAAGCAATGCAATGGTGATCACACTCTATTCTATCGACACTCGGACTGTAGAATTACAATTCTTGCAATATATGTGGATGATATTATAATCACAGGAGATGATGATGTGGAGATATTGCGACTGAAGAAGAACCTGAGCAAGGAGTTTGAGGTGAAAGATCTTGGCCAACTTAGATACTTCCTCGGGATTAAAATTGCAAGGTCTCCAAAAGGCATAGTTCTCTCTCAAAGAAAGTATGTTCTGGACTTACTTAGTGATACGGGTATGCTTGGATGTCGGGCTGCATCAACTCCTATTGATCAAAACCACAAGCTTTGTGCACAGGCAGGAGAATCAGTGGATAAGGAGAACTACCAAAGGCTTGTTGGGCGACTCCTATACTTATGCCATGCACGGCCTGATATTGCCTATGCGGTGAGTGTGGTAAGCAGATATATGCATGATCCTAGAAGTGAACATCTAGATGCAGTACACCATATATTACGCTATCTAAAAGGTAGTCCAGGGAAGGGGTTATGGTTTAAGAAGAATGGCCATTTGAATGTAGATGGCTACAGTGATGCCGATTGGGCGAGTTGTCTTGATGACAGAAGATCTACTTCAGGGTATTGTGTGTTTGTTGGAGGCAACCTTGTGTCATGGAGAAGTAAGAAGCAATCAATTGTATCTAGATCGACAGCCGAAGCAGAGTACAGGGCCATGTCACTAGGCCTTAGTGAAATGTTGTGGGTAAGAAATCTTCTATCAGAACTAAAAGTGCTGAGAAAGGGCCCTTTGAAGGTGTGGTGCGATAATAAATCGGCTATTAGCATAGCCAACAACCCAGTCCAACATGATAGAACAAAGCATGTGGAGATTGATCGCTTCTTTATTAAAGGGAAACTCGATGAGGGTATAATAGAATTAAAGCATGTAAGCTCAGAGAATCAAGTGGCAGATAGCCTAACTAAGGGTTTAGGAGCAAAGGAGTGTAATTTGGCATGTAACAAGATGGGAATGATAGATATCTATCATCCATCTTGAGGGGGAGTGTTGGGTTGTGTGTGTGTGTGTGTGTGGCCCATAGGCCCACTAGTGTACATATATATTGTACCCATACCTGTACCAAGTAAGAGAGAATTCCAGAATTTTCCCAAAAGATAACAGAATGTCCTATTGTTTTCTTGTCCTTTTGCGCCAATCTCATTATTTCTACGTGAAAATAGAAGAACAAGATCCTTGCTTTGGTTTTCTTGTCTCAAATTTACTACGTAAAACTAGCATAGTAGTGCAGCATATATAAGTGGTTTAGATCTTTGTGTGCCTGATAGATGCTTTCTTGGAGTTATGTATATATTTATAATGTAACCAGTTTACATCATACGCCTTTTTAGCCCAGATATTAAGGACCTCTTGATCTGGGTCCACTCCTCTTTAAAAATGCTACCAGTGAATAGAATATCTGAATATTTCTTGGCCAGCAGATCGGTGCAAGCTGAATATCTGTTTTCTCTCTCTTTTTTCTGATAAAGGGGATGTTTTAATATCAAGATATCTGTTTTCTCTTCACTGTAACTTTTATAACTCTTGTGACCCATGTAAATTCCATAACGCTTTAAACAGAGCCAATTGTGTCGCAAATCCTACGACTTGTGCCTCACCGCTGCACACCACAATAGTTCTCCTGCTATCATTATATTCCACGTATCATGTCATGCTGACAATTTCTTTCGGACAGAACGACCACTGGATCATCAGGAGAGCCAAGGGCCAAGCCTGGACTGGAACCTCCAAGAAAGAACTAGCATTCGCACTGATCAACTAGCAAGATGCAGATTCAGATTGCATTACAAGCCTCCGATGAAATGAATGGGAGATGTTCGATGGACAAAGACAATACACCCCAAAGTTGTTACGCCCTCTGCCTTTTATGATGCAACAGCACATCTACCAATCATGTGCACACGCAATAGCGCTTTCAACAGGAGATGGCAGCATTATCATGCTTAGAGATTAAGGATGTGCCGCTGCTGCTACAAAAACAAAGGTGAGCACTGCACATGTAGACGGTATACTAAGCTGGCTTGACCACATCAATCTCTTGTAATCTGCAAAAAGACCTTTTCTGTTAAGAATACGATATATTCTTGGAGGGTTAGAGACTAATATTGTGGGCTAAGCTTTGTATGCTTCGTTTGTGACGCCCGAGAAAACAAAAACTTTGCCTTTTCTTCTTCTTTCCCTTTTTCTAACTCTTGCCCACAGGTCACTGCTTGTCTGTTTGCCATCTTCTTTGGAGGCAGACAAGAGAAACAAGCCTAAAACAAAAATGTACCACATTTACTATGAAACTTATGGATTCATATTTCGTTATTACTTCAGCTAGCATATATCGATTACTATATATATAAATATATACCTGCTACCTGCTAGGCTAGTAGCTATTTGCTGTCGACTTTGTGAATCTATTAACTTATAATTATGATGAGGGCTAGATGTTTCCCAGTTTTTTTATCAAATTTTTCTTCATTTCTGAAAGCTTGCATACATACATTAGACATACGGATCTACACACTGTGGTACCCCACAAATGAAAATGATTTGAAACATACGGTAGTATGGAAGGCAATAGCTAATGGAAAGCATCCACGGATTGTTTGGCCAATTGTGTAGGAGCATACAAAAGCTAAACATGCCTGGCTCCGGATGAAGAACTACAGTATTAGTATTCGATCGGATATCATGCACGATTGCACATACATGATTGCTTGGGGACAGCAAAATTAGAGGACCACAGCTTTGTAGTAGACCTCAAACAAAGGCCTAAAGCCCCCTTTAGGAAAACTTTCACTGAATCCTTTATGAAAAATTTCTACGGCGCCACCCGCCACTTGTAACAACGGAGTAGCATATCTGGATTCCTATAGAATGGGTGGGCCACAAACGTGACATCTTTCATGCTTTTTCTATCTCTTTATGTCTAGATGTTCTATGTTTTTCTTGTGTAGTCTTCAAGCTCTATAAATAGTTGTGAAGGTTTCCTCTGTTTTTGGTTCTTGTAGAAACTCAAGCTACGTTGCATAACAATTTCTACACTCTTGGATTCTTTTGTTCCAAATGGGTCATGGCACAGGACCACCCTAGCCTAAACTAAAGAAATAATTTTGCATAACCTTGGAGCAAACAGATTTTGTTGTCATGCCTGTGCCGTAAGGAAAATTTACAATCCCTATTGTTATTAACTTACAAAACAGGTTTTGAGCTTTTGCACTAATCTTTCATGAGAAGCAATTGTACTTAAGAGTTTTATGGTGAACATTGAAAGTGCATCCGAGTATAACTTCTATAAGAGAGTTATTTGCTTCAACTCCAAGCATGATGACTTAAACAAGTCTTCATCAGCAAGAAGCATGGATGGCTGTGTGCATCATGATGATGCACGGGCCGGGGTCTTTCCCCTTTTCAAAAAAAAAATAAAATCAACAAAAAGCGTGTGGAATGGAGCTTCAAATACAATATTCAAGATCAACCGAACAACTACACCAACATCCAAGTGAAGGTGTGTTCTCTAACTCTATAGAACACACTAAAAGTATGTGTACTGTTCAATCAAGGAACAAATACCACAAAAATGTAAACATATTGATATTTGAGCATGTTTTGACTCGAAGATAAGCTTAAATGATGAACTTGGCTCATAGTTGGGATGTTGTTTTGTAATAAATAATATATAATTATGTGCATCAGTTGATGCAAAGGCCAGAGGTTATCCACCTTTTCAAAGAAAAAGGAACCTTACTTTCAAGAAACTGTGCATACAATCGACTTGCCCCGGGGCTACTTCTATGGGGGGATGGATGTTATCATGATCAAACTACTCCTTCCGTCTCACAATATAAGATGTTAGGGTATCTTCAACGCCGACCCTCAAAACAGACACAACACCCCTCCGCGGACTGGTCCGAATCAGTCTGTGGACATGGACGCGGGAGCCGTCCATTCAACCGCATCCCATAAATATCCGTCTGGGTCTGGCCAATTTGAAATTCAAATGAATAGCGCCCAATCACAACCAAAAAGAGGCTGGTATTCACAGTTTTTACATGTCTGATCACAAAAGTATCTCAACCCGGCAGTCCGTGCAAAAAAGAAAAAAGGATTTTTGGCCCTACCGGACCGGCTATCCGAGTCTCCTCGCTCGTTCTGCCACCGCCTCCTCCTCACCATCCGCTTCATTTTCAATCACCTCCTCCATCATCTCCAGCTGCTCCTTCAAGCGCTTCAACATCCTAAGACGGACAGCTTGCACGATCATCCTTGCATTGTCATCCAACTCCTTCATCTTCAAGGCCAGGACGACGTCTGCATCGACGGCGGTGGCACCCCGCGTCCCAGGCAAGCACGCCCGCTGCCCCCGTCGCCCTTCTTTTTGAGCGGCACCGCCTCCTTTGCCTTCTGTTTGAGGCGGCGGGCTTGTCGTGTTGTCGAGTTGATCTTTTGGGCGGCTGCCTTCGCTAGATCCTCCGCTGCCGCCATCTTCGGCAGCTTTTCGTACGGGTCCATGCGGCGGCGGCTGCGAAACAAGGAGGGAATTGGGGTGGTGAGCAGCGGCATGGTAGAGGAGAGGGTTGAGAAATGGGGTTTTGCCGCGAAAACAGTGCGGTCTTCGCCTCGGTTCTGGGTGGGCTAGGGTGTGGGAGTCCAACGTGACTGGTGTCCCAACTGCCGCAAAACCACCTGGTTTGCTTCCGGTTTGCGAAAAAATGGACACCCGGACTGATTCCCAAGCAAATGCGGTACACCATTGGATGGTTTGTGGCGTCCACACAGTTCGGTCCAGAGACTCCAAACAGAGGCGGATGGTTTTGGGTCGGCGTCGGAGATGCCCGTATTACAGCCGATATGATCTGGGAGTAGTTCTAACTTGTGGTGCATGATAATGATAATTGACGAAGAGACATGGGCAGATTATAAAGAAAATGTTTACAGGGAGAGATTCCGAAGGTACGTAGGATGGTAGAATGGATCGAGCGATACGTATATTTTCTGTTTCGGAGGGATCAAACTCAAATCTACTTTTCCTGGCAAGGACGGTCTCAGTGTTTCACCAACCACCATATCGTGCGCTACAGATGGATCATGTACGGCCGTGCTTTAGCATCTTTTCACATCCCACAATCCGGACCGTTCGATCTCGATCTCAATCGTATCGCGGAAATCAGGGCCGTCCGACCTCAATCTCCCCGATCGGACGCCTTTAGTGGCCGAGGACCGGAAGAACCCTAACCACCAGACTAGGGCTAGCTCTCTCCTGCACACACATACACAAGCACGCACACAAGCCACCATGCCATGCCATGCAAGGCTTCTCCGGCCTATAAATAGAGGGCGGCCTCTTCTCACCTTCCTTGAGCACAAGCCACACAGCCACTCTCCAACTACCACTGGTTAGCTAGCTAGCTGATCATCACACATATATAGAACTTAACTAACAAGAGAGCTAGCCAGTATATGGGAAGGAGGTCGTCCTTCTTCTGCGCCATATTCAGCTTCTCGCGGAGGTCGAGGCGGTACGCCTACGTCGACGACGAGGACAGCGACTGGGAGCAGCCGCCGGCGCCGGGGCTGCGCAAGGTCAGGTCCAGCGACGAGGACTCCGGGTGGTGGGTCGGCGAGCGCGACGTCGACCAGAAGGCCGCCGACTTCATCGCCGGCTTCCGCCAGAGGAGCCTCGTCGCCTGAACCCATCCGCCCAGCTGCCGCTGCCGCCTATACATGTACGTACGTGTCCAGCTAGGGCGTACGTCCAGGTTATTACTACGTATAGGGAATAAGATCGATCTGCCGGGAGCTGGCGCGTACGTACGTGCCTGGCTAGCTTCCCGATGAGCTAGTATTTATGTAGACATATCAAGCGTGTTGATGTGATCATATGTTATGTATCTTCGGTGTGCAGCTCGTGTGCGTGAGTACTATCTACGTTCGTAAAGTGTTCTGTCGAATAATGCAACGCAGGAGATGATAAGGGGTTTAATGAACTCGTGTATGTTTCTATTGTATACAAATATATGTATATATGGACAACTTGAAATGCAGATGTGGTTCAGTTGGTTGCTTGGTTGGACAAGCCCTTGCATGTATGTGTTGATCTCGATACATGAACTGCATGCGTCCACGAAACAGAGCGGCACAATTGTTGGTTGCAGTCTGCAAATTAAGGTGTGTAATTTGTAGATTTGTCACTGCAAGCATGTTAACCACACCAATTGTCATCTTTTCAGTTAGTAGTAAATGTCCAAATGCACTCTTTGCAACCATAGATGTGCCATTGTCCCAAGATTCTGTGATCAACCGGAGAGAGATGAATTGTCATCCATGTACACTATAGATTTTTTTTTCTGCAAAAATATCGGATTTATTATAATTGTTCACCGGAAGTACAAAGCATTTCAAACATAATAAAAATTACACCGAGGCTCGGAGACCACCGAACGACCACGACTGCCGCCAGAACGAGCTGCTGACGTGCCACTATCGCTGCTCCTCTACTGAAGCCGGCTTGACCTTATCGATGTACACTATAGATTATCATATTTCAAAACGGTGGTGTACATTTTCTACACAGGGCAGTGTGTGAATTCACATGTAAAATAGAGCAAATGGTATGTACATGTATAAGAAGATCTAGCAGGATGGCAAGTGCCATGTTTTTTGTTTTCTTTTTTCATATTACGATTATCTTATTAGAGAGACAGTTATGTTACGATTATTTCACATTAAAATTTACAATAAAATTATGTGTCTTAAGATGATTCTACCTAAAGCAAAACTAGAGTTAAATGCAATGATGCAAATACATAGTGAAACCCACTCTTAAGATTCTCTTGTTCAAGAGACTTCTATTCTCTGGCCTTCCCCTCTTCTTTCTCCCGCATTAGTGATTATCCTACATGGTAAGACGAAGGGCCAGCTGCTATCATGCCTTTGTAGATGCCCTTTATGCTTGTGCGTTGTGGTGTTTGCCTCTCTAAGATTTTGTTTGGTATTGGGGTGGATTATGATTATATTGTTTACATAGCCATCTTTTGCACGTTTCCACCATATGTGTAGTCAACATCTGCCTATTTCACCTATTTTTGCACAGCTCATTATAAACTAAGTAAGTACATTAAAATTTGCAGCAACAAAAATTTGAGCATGAGATGCTTTTTGTCATTCTTTCTATTGATCCAACAAAACTAGTGCCCAAATTATTCCATTTTTTTTAAAAGAAAAGGAGAAAGGAGAAATTTAGCTCACTCGCATACATGAATTTTTTTGGAAGCATGCATGTGTTCCATGTCTACAAATACCCATCTACTTTTTTGTACACATAATTCATGATTTACCCCACATTAGTTAATTTTTCAACGAACAAGTAAGCGCATGCACTCCGCTTACAACGTTCAAAGCCTCGCCCGCACCTTCCCCCTCTTTGTCTCGGCCTTCGCCGCCGCCAGGAAAGCCCGTGAGTCGCACGACTACAATGGTGGAGAGGCGCCCTCCGGGTGTTGCTCGTCCGGTGGTGAGTGATGCGCCCATGTTCAGCGGAGGGTCGCAGCGAACTGGTCGGTAGCCAGCAGCTCGGTCCAGTGTCCTTGCTCCCGATGCTACACTTCTAGTCGGGGAGCGTCATCGCCTTTGGGCGGGCTTGGATCGGTCCACTGTCCTTAGCTCCGATGTTTAGCAGTCTTGTTTGCCTCCTCTTATATACTCCCTTCATTTCAAAATAGATAATTCAACTTTATATTAAAGTTAGTACAAAGTTGAGTTATTTATTTTGAAACGGAGGGAGTACATGTGGACGTGTCAACAACTATCTCGATCCATTCTGCTACTTGCCGGCAGGGTCGACACTCTTTAGTCCGGACTCCGGAGTGAAAGGCAGTGGCGGTTTGATGGGGCATTGTGACGAAGTCCGATGATTTTATCTAGGAGACGTGGTTCACTTTTGGTCGGCTAAATAAATTCACGTGGCCGAACGATACAAGGTGTATGGGGGCGAAGACTTTTTTTTTTTTTTTGAATTTGGGGGGCGAAGACTATTTTGTGAGAAGCACTTCATTAACCAAGCAGATAGTTCAGTTGTTAAAAGACACTACATATATGCCGCCATATGGTGTTAACTACTTGGGAGTAATTGATGTTAATTAAGCAGTTTGGCTAAACAAATCGTTTAATCAGCACATGAGCTACTTGGTAGGTAACTGCGTCGTTAATTAAGCATATTGACACTCGCACTACCGATCGATCCAGGATTTGATGACGAGAGGACAGCACTTGAAACGGTGTCTACAGGGGAAGAATGAGCCCCTTTTTTAGCTGGGTCCGGAAAGCAACTCAACTAGAAGGCTAAAACTATTCCATCGGCCCGCCCAGAGATCTAGGTTTCTAGCAACTGAAAGTCACTTGTCAGTGCGTGCAACGCTTTCCTCTCGCTTTTCTCTTCTTGTCTCGACAATATTCTTCGTCATCTTACTTGTCTTCCCCTTTTCCTTATTCTCACCGATCTCATCCCTCCCCTCTTTTTATCAGTGTAATCGATGCGATACGAAACCGAGACCGTAGTCACTGCGCATGTGCGGCCAGTATACGTAGTCGCTGCGCATGCGCGATCAGTATACGAAACCGTAGCTATATGCTGAAATATGAGATGGGCCTAGAGCCTATATGACAATTTCAGATTTGATTTCTAAAGGTCCATGTAGGTGGCATGATAAGGTGGTGGGAAGTTTAGTTCCATCCTGAAAGTGGAAGGAGAGTTGGAGTGGTTTATAAGGGATTCTCTTCCTCATGCTATTGGAGCTTGAGAAGAGATGAGGCCCTCGCGCACTCCTCCTCCTCCGCTCGCCACGCCACGTCCCGGCTTGAGCCGAGCCGAACTCACTCCTATGCGCTTCTTTTTGCCAGTCAGAAACGGAGAGTCTTTGACAGGTTGGGCCACGATCTGAGACGTCGGATCGTGGGCTACCGACTTGGACGTGGGTTCAGCCCACGTCTCTCCACGCACAGCCGCACATATATATGTGGGGTGCTGCCAACCCTAGCCGCCACGAAACAGAACGCATCTCCGCCTCCACGCCCGCGTCGTTCCTCTGCTACTGCTGTCGCCGGCAACTCCGTCCCGTTCACCGCGTACACGGTTGACGGGAGAGCAAGCCTCCGAAACCCCGTCTCTCCGGATCCTGTACGGGAGAGGGGCGATTAGGTTTTTGGGTAGCGACTACGCGACTGCTCGCTTCTGTTCATCTACGTCCACATCACCTTCGTCATCACCATGTCGACCGACGCCGACTGTGCCGCCGCTGAGAAGGCCGAGGCCAACAAGAAGGCCGCCGAGGATGATGCCGCCACCGCCGCCGCATGGCCGATTGGAGGGCATACATCGTTTATCCCTCTTATGTTTCTAGCGATATGCGTAGATGTTTCTACTATATGCGTAGTACATGCTCTGTTAGATCGTAACCAGTCTGTTATCAATATTGTCAATGTCATGCTCATAATTTATTTATGGATTAATTTAATCGGAAAACTGCCTATTTTCTTATCACTATATACTCTCTCTGTACTGAAATAGATGTTGTTGAAGCAACTATAGTTCAGCTACTCCAGCGACATATATTTTGATACGGAGGGTATATGCTTGTGTTGTATGGATATTCTACGACGAACATACCGAACCATAAGATCTTCAGTATTGTGCGTGTCAATATAGGCCGTATGCCCAGAAATCCTTTTTCTGAGCCCGGGCTCATCTTCACCCGTGTTAAATAAAAAAAACCAAAATAAATACTAAAAAATTCCAATTTTTTTTCATGATAGACAATTTGATGCGTGAGGTCCTTTCTAATTTTCAAATCATTTGGACAACTGAACAACTCTCGGCAAAAAAGACAAATTCAGGGTCCGTAAAACAGTTTACTGTTTTAGTACTGTTTTGACCCAATTTATCTTTTTTGCTGAGAGCTATTCAGATGTTCAAATGAGCTAAAATTTGGAGCGAACATCGCACAATAAATTTTCTACCATAGAAAAAAAATTGGAATTTTTTTATTTTTTCTAGTATTTTTTTGAATTTTTTTTGACCGGGTGTAGATGAGCCTGGGCACCGAATCGCTGCACCCGTGTGCCCTTCTTCTAGCAGAAACAATGCGGTGTGCTTATCTCTGGTGCCAACATCATGTCATGTCCTAATTCCATAACACATTGCAACTTGGAGTGCAAAAGTGACATGGCACGCACCATCACCTTCAATTTGTACGCGTCTCTTCAATTAGTCATTTCTGTAGCTAGTAGCTTTCGGAGTGATGAGCCTCCTATTAACAGGATTCGTAGAAGCGTCTCCCCAGCCCAGCTCCTTGCGCAAGCATGAAACAACCTAGGGAAATGTTCGACTATATTAGCGGGGAGCATATCTGCAAGCAACATAGTTAAAGACTGTTAAGAACTCCCTCAGTGACTTAATGTAAGACGTTTTTGCACTTTAATTTAAACTGCGAAAACGTGTTACATTAAGTTACAGAGGTTGTACCAGATTACTCTATTCTATAAGTGCTAGACCCATTGATTCCTGATGATGTGCCGACCAGCAGGAGTACAACTCAAGCAGTTCCGCAAAACAGCAGCGAGAAGAAACCACCTTGAATGAAAGATAAGCTGAAATTCAATGAAAGCTGCAGATGCCAAGAACAAAACAGCGAAAGCTACAAGTCAGTTGGAAAATCCCATCTTCATCCCTTTTTAGCCCGCGGTTTTGATCCCACGGACGGACAAGCGTGTCGACGCAGAACCAGAGTAGAACATGGTCACAGCAGCACAAGGAGCCCAGAAGAAGGCACGCCAAAAGCCAAACCACGCCCTTGATTCCTGTCTATTGACAGGTCTGCATCCACATACCAAAGCTCCCTCTGCCTTTTTTTTCTCTTGCTGGGGAAGAGCGGAAGAAGCTTCCCCTCTGGTACTCAAAGCCTCGGAGGGTATATGTCCTGATTCTGCAGCCCTTGCATGGCTTTCCAATTATTAAGGTCATGTCAGCGTTGCGAGCTTGCGACGGGATGGGTATGTGTCCCTGAGAGCAGGCTGCTTTCCTGGATCAAGCAGACAGGGTCGTTCTCCGACCAACTGTCAGGGAACCCACTTGCTCCTGCGCCAAGCACCCTTCTTGCCCAATCCTCACTCCTGGAAACCCTGATGCTCAGGTAAACTGTCAGGGTTATCAATCAAATGCTGAAGAAGAAGGACTCCCATGAGATACAATAAATTGGAAATTATCATATTTGAGAGCTAACAAATCTATCCACAACAGTCAATTTACAGAGAAAAGGAAGATGTGAATGACATAACCAGAAATGCGGCACGGCATAAAGACTGGCTGATCTGCTGAGCACTTCTATCTTGCGATCCTAATACACATTGTTGTGGATCCAATTGCAGTGGAACTACTACATGGTACAAAGTGAACCAAATGGCAAGTTCATGTACAGCAGAATTGCTGTGACCCTATCTTGTAAACTAATGCAGACTATTCTATTAGACATTGTGAGCTATGGAACAACACCAGGTTTAAGTGCCTGTATCAATATTACGGCGCGTAAAATTGATCCGAGTCACTGGTCAAATTCATGGAGCGTGTATTGCAAATTCACATGCTAATCTATTATCATCTGTAACAGTTTTCTGCTGGTCGAGTCGCATCAAAATTCACCGAATAATGCACCAGTCCGCCGCCCCACTGGGTGCAGAGTGCAGTCTCCTTCACAAATAGACTTGAATTGTATATTTTGCTGCCTTGCAATTGTACCCAGCAGGTCCCCTAGTTCATGGACGATTTTGATACCATGTCAGTTGATGCTTATCTCCTCTGTGGATCTGCAAAACAGAAACAAAAGAAACAATAATTACATTGCAATTTCAACAGAGCAGATATTGAATGCACAAAACACCACAATTCTAAAGATATTTTCACAGGACCACAGAATTTGTGATCAATCATATCACACAACTATAGATATAGCAAATTATTTAACTATGCCATGCCGGCCGAGTTTTGTGATATTATTATCCTAAAATTATAATTGGTTCGCAGGTCTCTAGTTCTATGAGACTGTACTCTAGTTTTCAAATGGTCTGTACAATAAACCTGTAGTTTTGTGAAATTCACTAATTTCAATAGGATTCGATCAGATGAAATATCATGACTTCTTTTAAGGAAAGAGACTGAAACATTATTAGTTGCCTGATCAGTATAAAAGTTGCAGGAACATTTGATTTGTTGCAAACTCGCAATGTCTCGGTTGAGAAAATATTAGGATGGTGCAGTTTCTTCCGATATCTCAATAGTGGACAGAAATACGGTTGTGAAAGTGCTCCCAAGACCCTATCACGCATGGCTACTCCTCTTCTTTACTATTTCCAGCGTCTTCCCATTATACTATCATATCTCCCGATTATACTCCCGTGAATTAATTCATTCGCATTTTCCCCAAAACAGTCTGTTGATGCAATAAATATGTAGTGCTCCATCATCGTCCATCTATTTATTCATGTCTTCTTCACTCAAATTCTCGCATCTCTCATGTACTACTTCTTTCAATCCCTTTGTTGCTTGCTGCTGGCCCTGCGAGGGCAAGAGTGCTAAGTCGCCAGTTCATCAAGAAGATCAAGCACACTACCGAAACCACACGCGGTGCCGCCACGTGGTCTTCCCCAATTAACGAAAGGCTATTTCATCTCTTTTTGTTTCTATGTTCAATTTACTGTGTAAGATATTTGCCTCTCATTTTTATTTTCTGAAATTTCCACCAGTTCTAGAACTAGGAAATTTGAGCCGGGATATGAAAAACATAAGAAAAGGAAAAAGATTGGAAACTCACTCGACATCCAGATAAAGACGTTCCTGGTAATTTTAGGTAAAAGAATCGAATGTTTCTTCTGAAAATAAGAATTTAGATACTCGTGCTGATGAGGTTCACAGGATGAATGCTAAAACACACAGCAGAAGGATGATATATATAACAAAGCCTTGTTTTTTTTTAGTGTTGAAGGCCTTGTTTTCTGATTGCTATTTATTATGTCGAGGGCCTTAATTTCTTATTTCGCACCGGGCCTCCGTTTCCTCGGATACGGCCCTGCGTGGTCGCCGCATAACAGAGGCGCACCAGGTGAGCTCCAGACACAAAACTAGCTCATGACAGTACATAATTAGTTGTGCTCTCGCGATGATGAAATTAGTTGGTGGGCTCGTTCATCAATGCTGTTGGAGATAATTTAGCATGTGAGTACATCTGTGCAAGGGAGATCAAACCATGGAAACCCGTCACCAGAACGTTGCACCTCCCGTCTAGGCCGCTAAGTCCGTTACCAGGATGGCAATTATTGTGCGGGCTCCATGCATGGGCCATGATAACCTGATAAAGGAGGAAAGATGCTATATACATTTGAGAATACGATGGGGAACAAATCCCAAAACAAATGATCGACCAGGATATCGAGACTATCTGGGCTCGGGCTCCGCTTTCAGTTTCGATGTGAAAGCAGGTGCACCAACTCTGTCAGAAGCTTTAGGTGTTGACTGTTGAGGTGAGAATCATAGTTCATAACAACCTCAGTGATAGGATCAACCAGACCTACAACGTGCACTTGCATTGGACAGGATCTGGAAACCTCCTTACCTCAAGATGTCAACACAATACCTAACCTCAACACACCAAAAAAAATATTTCCTCAGGAAAAGTGCCAGCCTTATTTCAAACTGAGAATCTCTAAATTTCAATACCATGATAGGTGTCATGAACAAACCAAATGAATGAATAATCTACACATACTTCAATTAGTCCACTGTAATATTTACCCGCATAAAGAAAGGATCATTGAAAGGATAAATTTATTGTTGATAAAATGTCGATATGTACAACCTGCTGATTAATTCAAAAGTTGCATTTCCCAAGTAAGCATCAATAAATAGGTCATCTGAAGTTGAGCACTCCAGATAAACGAAATAAAAGCTTCCATAGCCCTTTTTTTTGGATAACGAGACGTTGTACTGCTGCCAAATCCATTGCTATTCCATTTTATGTTTTTGCTTACCATGACATACAGCAGCAGCAGGACACCAAAATGAAAAAACTTTGAATTGGCATTGTGAATTTTGGCTCCTTTAGCATGTATAACGTTTCAATTAGAAGGTCATCAGTTTGTCGAGCTTACTTACTTACTTACTTACGAAGCCTTTTATCCCAAACAAGTTGGGGTAGGCTAGATATGAAACCCTTTCACGAGGACTTCCCAGGAGGTCACCCATCCTAGTACTACTCTCGCCCAAATGGGTTTCATACCCAAAAGACTGGCTAGTTTTTACGTTGGCTCGCGAAGCCTATCACAACCCTTAGATATGAAACCCTTTCACGAGGACTTCCTAGGAGGTCACCCATCCTAGTACTATTCTCGCTCAAATGGGTTTCATACCTATGGGACTGGCTAGTTTTTACGTTGGCTCGCCAAGCCTATCACAACCCTCCTCCTTTACCCGGGCTTGGGACCGGCTATGCCTAGAAGACATAGGCGGAGTTATCAGTTTGTCGAGCTACTTATAGGAATTTAAAAGGAAAAGGTCGATGAACAAAATCATCAAAAGGGACAAATTCGAGTATACCTTGAAAAACCCCAGTTAGCTTAACGTATGATAACCCATAAGTCCTTGAAAATCATCTGGATTTGATGGTTTATTTCCAGGTTTAGGTAACCATGGAAATAACTTGGTAAGGCCTTCTCTTGCAGAATCAGGACCCTTTTGTCTACCATTGACTCCATACTTTTCCCTCTCAATGGCATCCATTATATCCTCCCGAGCCACAATATCACCACCTTGACAGAACACAATCATCCTCAGAATCTTGCAATAATATAACTTCTTAATTATCATACATTTCATCAACTTAACCATTTTAAAAGACAACTCTCTTTCCAAAACATGGGAAATAGAAAAACATAAATGCAGGTAAGATTATAATTTTTCTCAGTAATAATTTAGAACATGGTGGAGTCAAACTGATAAGAGAATGCACTGGCAGTTTACAAAGAAACCACAAATCTTGCACTGTTCCACTGAAAATGGACCACAAAATTGCAGGTTTTACACTTTGGAACTCTAAGCATTCATTAATGAAGCGATATTTAAATTTGCTTGCAATAAATATGATACTTCAAGCATAAGGAACCAATCAACTTGCTCTAAGTCTTATGTATCTGATGATATAAGATGACTTTAACTTACCTCTTCGAGCAGCTAGTAGAGCAGCCTCATTAACAATGTTTGCTAGATCTGCACCAACCAATCCTGGGGTCACATTAGCTACCAGATCACAAATTATTTCGGATTCCTCTTCTAAAGGAACTTTCCTGAGATGAACAGCCAAAATCTTTCTGCGGCCTTCCAAATCAGGCACACCAACAAAAACCTTTCTTGAGAAGCGACCAGGCCGACAAAGAGCAGAATCCAGAGCCTTAGGTCTATTAGTAGCAGCCATGACAATAACTTTCACGTCCGAGTCAAAACCATCCATTTCAGTAAGCAGCTGGACAAAGCAATAATATGTTCATCATTTAATATGACTTCACAAAGAAAACAGAACGTAGTAAGAGAGCTAAATCACACCTGATTTAGGGTTTGGTCCCTCTCATCATTAAAACTTCTACCTCTGCTTCCACCAACAGCATCAAGTTCGTCAATAAAAATGATTGACGGAGCAGCTTCTTTGGCTTCCTTGAATAATTCCCTCACGCGGGCTGCTCCTCTTCCAACAAACATTTCAACAAATTCGCTAGCAGAAACAGAGAAGAATGGAATTCCAGCCTCTCCTGCAACTGCCTTCGCCAGCAAAGTTTTCCCGGTTCCAGGAGGGCCAGCAAGTAGAACACCCCTGGGTAATCTTGCTCCCAGCTTCTTGTAGTTCAGTGAACCACGCAAGCAGCTCACTATCTACATTAAGAAATTATAATAGTGTACAACAGTTTATGAGTCTTGTTGATATTCAGTCAATAGAAGTACATAACTAACTCATATGAATAACAAAAAACAAGACATCAGCTAAAACAAATATAATTCCTAGCATCAACAAGCCTAAGCAGTCAATACTACAGAATCCATAGATACAAGTACTAATTATTAATAGAGTGAATTCCAGTTTTTTACCCTCTATTTTGACATTTTTTACACTAATTACTCCAGTTAGCGGATTCTCATCCGGGTTACCCCATTTAGCGGAAGTTTTGCTGGTTGTTACCCCTTTAAAAAAATTGAAGGGAGATCTAAAAGGTGTGTCCCGGCCGTCGGGTACACGTAATGTGCCATGTCGCGGTTTTCCTCCTGTTTTTTTTTTTTTGCACAAACGGGTCGAATGGCATGGTTGGACATGGTTTTTTTCTCTCGGTCGTCAGGTGTGCATATGCACCGCATCTTGCAGTTGGTTTTGTTAAACATTTGCAGGTGGGTGCGCGGGACGGGTCTGGCTCAGGGATACGAACTGGTTCAGGCACGGGAAAAAACGCAAAGGATGAAAACAACGACATAGCTTGCCATGTATGTGTACCTGACGACCTAGCAGGTCGCTCTCAAAATTTTGAATGGGGTAAAATTGGCAAAACTTTTGCTAAATGGGGTAAAAATAGGCAAACCTTTCGCTAAATGGGGTAATCCAGATGAAAAAACTGTTAAACAAGATAATATCCCACGCATTGCTGCGGGGATTTATGACCTTGTGCTTCAATTATTTGTTGCTAGAAAAAAATTTGATGATGTGTAGGGCATGTATGTGCTCAAAAATGGGATAACCTACTTAGATATATGGGATAGGATAGGATTGGGTACTTAGTGTCAAAACATCAAAATATGAGAAAATTGGAATTCATCTTAGACGTAAGTGCCTACCACATATGTATTCATATTCCAATCCAGACATGCTCGCAGTGTTTTTCTTGAAACAGGGCTTTGTGAAATAAAAGGGAGAAAACATACGATTTCATACAGGAACCACATTGTAGTCCAGCAACAAGTTAATAAGGCAAGCAGGCTTAAGTGCACTGTGTAGAACTTTGATCATATCTTACTGTGCCATTTCTTATTTTGCAAGGTTCCTCCTCATACCCTTGGTATTTGCAATTTCAATAGAATGCCGCAGATCGGGAAAAGTTTAGTTGGCAAAAATAATACCCTTTGTATTCGACATATGCAATTGTGAACTCCCAGTCGACCCGGATTTCTTAAAATCAGAATCGACGAGATTAGCAAGACCTTACTCTAAGATCCATGTGCGGGTAGGGCTTGTTATAGAGAATGGGTGTAAAATTTGTTAATTCCTTTCTTAAACTTGATTGATTGACATTTTGCAGACTTGCTATGTCCATTGTCTACTGGTCTGCATATCATCGACATCACAGAAAACAATCATCATGAGAAAGAAATAGAGAGGTCATATATATTCACCTCGACAAGCTCCTCCTTCGCTTCATCCACGCCCTGGACATCATCAAATCCTACCTGCTGCTTCCTGGGCCGTCGGCGCTTGTCCGCACTGCCCCCAGACGACATCTGCCTCTGTAAGAACCACATCATCGGCAGCAGTGAGAACCACAGCGTGAGCAGCGTGGTCAGCATGTCCACCAGCAGCCTCCCCGCCGGCCGTGGAGCAGACCGGTAGTCCACCCCGCCCTCCCGCATCAGCCCAAGCAGGAACCCCTCGTCGTGCGGCACCCTCCTCGCGTAGTACGGCCACTTCGGCACGGCGGCGCCCCTGCCGGTCTCGCGCTCGTCGTCGCCGCTGCCGGCGTCCTCGGCCTTGCTGAAGTAGATGCGGCGCGAGTCCTCCTCGAAGGCGACGGCGGTCACGGCGCCCGCGCGCAGCCCCGCCAGGAGGTCCGCGTAGGCCACCTCCTGGGCCGGGTTTTTGGGCAGCGTGAGCCGCGCGGCGAGCAGGAGAGCCCCCAGGACAACCGACGCGACCGCGGGAGGCGGCACGCGACGGATGGCCCGCCGCAGCGCCGCCGCGGCGTCGCCCGCGAGCTCCCGCGGCGACAGCAGCCGCAGGAGACGCCACCGCAACACGCGCAGCCGCGGCCTGAGCCGCAGGCGCCGCCGCAGGCTCTTGGGCTGGTCCGTTCGGAGCCCCAAATCGGCGCCCTTGTCCTTCTCCACCTCGCCAACCTTGGCACGTACCGGGCTCCTCCACCGCAGCCGCAGCCTCGCGTAACGCCCGGCATCAGGCACTCCGCCGCAGCATCCATAACTCTCACTGTTAGCGAAGCAGCTCCGGGAAGGGGTGGGGTGCCTGAAGCAGACGTGGTGCCGCAGGAGAGAGGCGGCGGCGGCGGATAAGGGGGGGAGAGACGCCATTGGAGCCACGTACTCCCTCCTAGCTCAGTTCGTTACCGCCATTCGATCGGACAGAGGTCGCGCGGGATGCGCGCACGTGGTGTTCGAGGGAATTCCTCCCAGAAGAAGAGGTGCCGTGTTGCCGGCTTGGCCTGGTGATGATTCGTGGACGGAGAGGACCATAGCCGAACAGATTGTTTTTTTTTATCCGGCAAATTGCTCTTTTTTTAAGCATCCCCAACAGGCGCGGGTCGCGCCGCGCGCAAAAAACAGATATACCGCGCGTGCATCGTCTGGTTTGACGCGGCGCGCAGCACTAGCTCCAGCAGCCGCGCTAAAATGCAGCGTGCGCGATTCGCACAAACAACATATGCATTCAAAAACAGAAGCAAAAAGATTAAAACAAATAAAAATAAATAGTTCAATTTCGTTTATTACAATTCAAACAAACAGTTTTTATCGTTCAATACAACAAATAGTGCAATTAAACACAACAAATAATTTAACAATACAATAACGAACACACAAATCATGATGCTCTTTGTCGTCAATTCCATGCCCACCACTTCTTAATGAGATCCTTCTGAAGATCATTATGCGCTGCGGAACGTCGAATGGCATGATAGGAGGCAACAAAATGAGCCACCCTTTCAGTCCTCCGTCGCATTCGCACGGGATGTCCCGAGAGCTCATACTGAGAGTAGTTCACATCTTGACCACGCTCATTCTCGATGATCATGTTGTACATGATCACACAAGCGTGTATTATGTACCAAAGCATCTTCTGATCCTAAAATTTAGCCGGTCCTCTCACAATAGCAAATTGGGTTTGCAAAATCCCAAAAGCTCTCTCCACATTTTTTCTAGCCGCCGCCTGAGCATTGTGGAAATCAAGATTTTTCTTACCTTCTGATTTTTTCAACGGCTTGACAAAGGTTTGCCACTTTGGATAGATGCCATCCGCTAAATAATAGCCGTAGTTGTATGTACAGCCATTTGCTACAAACTGCACCGGTGGCAACTCCCCATTTGCAATCTTACTCATCAGTGGTGACCGATTGACAACATTGATGTCATTCAAAGATCCAGGCATTCCAAAGAATGCATGCCAAATCCAAGTCTCTTGATCGGCCACCGCTTCAAGGATTATAGTGGAACCTTTTTTTTTGGCCGTGGAATTGCCCATGACATGCCTTTGGACAATTCTTCCAAGTCCAATGCATGCAATCTATTGAGCCAAGTATGCCAGGAAAACCGCGAGCTTTGTTCATCGCTAAAAGCCTTGCGACGTCTTCAGCGTTGGGAGATCTCAAATACTCCTCGCCAAACACTTGCACAATTCCGACTGCGAAGCGCTTGACACACATGATAGCTTGGCTCTCACCCATAGCCAAGTGATCGTCATCTAGATCAGCCGGTATACCGTATGCCAACATACGCAAAGCGGATGTCACCTTCTGAAAGGTGCTATGCCCGAGCTCTCCGGTGGCATTCCTCCTTTGCTGAAAAAAACGGTCATGGCTCGCTAGTTTCTCTGCAATGCGCCTGAACAACTCGGTGCTCATCCTAAACCGGCGACGAAAATACGACTCGAGGTATGTGGGATTCTCCACAAAATAATGCCTGATCAATTTGTTGTGGGCATCGATCATATCCCTCCAAATTTTTTGACGACCCATAACCGAACCACCGTGCTTCGGTTTTTTATTAATATGCATAGCTAGGATCATTGCAAGATCCTCCTCCTCTTCCATATCAAATTCTTCTTCAGAAGAATCATACGACGAACTCGTCTACAATGTTGAATACTATGCTATAAATACAAAACTACAATCAACATGCACGAAATTCATGGCTTTTGAGCAATACATACCTTCTAGGTGTTTTGTTGAACACCTCGCGGGCGCCGAGCAGCAGCGAGCGCGCGGGCGCTGTTTGTCGGAGGACTAGCACGCGCGCGGGGCGGCGGGACTAGAGGGGGGCCGGAGAAAGCGCGCGCGGGGCGGGGATAGGCCGAGGAAGCGGCGGAACGGTCGCCGGGTGGCGCGGTCGGCGGCGGCGGCGCGGCTGGAGGGGGGGTAGGAGGTGCGAGCGAGCGCGCGAGAGTCCCGCGCGCTGGACTACGTATGCCGCGCGCGCGGTTTTCGCGCGCCCGTTGGAGCAACTATTCCGATTGCGCGCGCTAAAAGAAAGATTTTGCGGCGCGGCGCTAGTTTGGCGCGCCTGTTGGAGATGCTCTTAGCAAAATCCGGGAAATTGCTGGTCGTGGGCTTTCTACTGCCCACCGCTTGTTAGGATCCAGGGTTCCAGGCCCTATGAGAATGTGCGTTATGCGCCAGTTGGCGCGACAGCGCTCAGTCGCCTCTCGCATGGGCTGGCCCAAATGCGCTGCTCATTATACGCTCGGTGGAGTCTAGAGTAGACTCTGCGTTTTAGGCCACGTTCGCTTCTGTTTTCTAGTCACTTGCCCGTTAAAATTGTCTCAAAAAAAAACTTGTCCATAAAAAAGAATCTCTGAAAAAACCAGCAACTGCTACTTATTTTAAAAAAAACGACTAACGGTTTTTTATAGATTTAAAAAAATGTGAATTAAAAAAAGATCGTAAATTTGAGAAAAGTTCACAAATTTGAAAAATGATCACAAATTTGAAAAGTTCATGAGATTAAAACATGATAGGGAATTTGAAAATTTTATGAAATTTAAGAAAAGCTCCTGAGTTTGAGAAAAAATCATAGATTTGAAAAAATGGTCACAAATTTAAAAATGTTCACTTGTTTGAAATGAATCCACAGTTTTCACAAAATTTTCATGACTTTTGCGGAAAATGGTTCATGAATTTCGAAAACGTTCATGGATTAAAAAGTGTTCATGGAAATTAAATAAAAAGGAAAAGAGATAAACGAATAGGAAGCTTCGAGAAGTTTGTGAAAAAACAAAGCCTAGTATGCCCTGGGTTCTTAAGGTCTTATACAATGCTAGATGCTTAGGGAGGTGCTTAGAAAAATAAACCAGATTTTTCTGAAGCACCGGTGTTTATTTCTATAGGAGAGGCGCCTAATTAAGCGTCTACTCTATACAAATAAGCACCGATGCTTTAAGAAAAGTCTGATTTATTTTTCTAAGCATCTTTTCTAAGCACCTTGCATTGTACAAGGCCTAAGTGGGTCAACTTGTTACTAAGAGACTCGTGGGTGGTGTGACTGCCACGTTTAAAAAAGCCTAAAACTGTGTCACGGCCTCTACTACTACCGCGACAGGCAACAAGGAGGCCCGGCCCAAGAGAGCTAAGAAGCCCAACAGGTTGTTCGACCCGGCCACCTGGGAGCTAGGTGGGTGATCGATAAGTAGGTGTGAGCCCGAGGGGTTGGGGCACGGCGTTGTAATCAGTGAATCAATCTCACCTACTCTCCCCTTTCCTCCCACCTCCTATAACCTCTCCCTCCGATCCCCTTTTCTCTCTCAAGAACCCTAGCTACCGAATCTCCATGTATCGCCATGAATTGAGTAGATCGAACAAGATGGACGTAACATATGGTATCAGAGCCACCAGATTACTTGAAGAAATCGACGTTCACCACGCGCCAGCAGCGACAAGCCGGCGAGATGGAGCAGAGAGTGGAGGAGATGGCGGCGGCGCTCAAGGCCATCCAAGAGCATAACGCAGCCATCCAGAAGGCGGTGGCGGCGACGACCACCATCATCGCCGAGATCCAGCCGATGGTGGCCGATCTGGCCGCCTGGAAGCCTACGTTGGAGAAATCGCTCTCCGACGTGCAGCAGGAGCTGGGCGGGGTGCGCAAGGAGCTGGACGTCATCGCGCGGAACCCCATGCTCGGCCTCAAACCGGGGGATCTACCTCCCATCTTCCATTGACCCGGAGGCGCGCCGCAAAATCAAGCCGACAGCAGCCTCCAAGGGCCTGAAGGCCACCGCGTCGACCAAGCTCACCGGGGGGTCGGCTCTGGAGTGGTCACCACTCTAGTCCCACCTCCAGTCACGGGTATGGCACCGTCCCCAAATTTCCTTTCCTTTGCGGGGCAATTTTCGGTCGATCATCGCTCACGAGCACCAGGGCGGTCACCTTTGAGGGGCATGTCCAGATCTGGCAGTCCTCTGCCTCCACAATCTCGTAGCCCTTACCGCCACCACAATTCTGTCATTCCGAGGCCTAAGATGGATTTCCCTCAATTCTAGGGGGAACGCCATCGCAGTTGGAAACGAAATTGCGAGTCGTACTTCCGCGTCTTCCATTTAGATCCGGTGCTTTGGGTGGACACAGCTGCGATGCATTTCACTGGGGCCGCAATGGTGTGGCTCGAAAACAGTGATTTCAATCTACGACACATGGAGTGGGAACACTTTTGCACCACAGTCTGTGAGCAATTTGAGCGGAATGAGTTCACGGTGCTGTTGCGTCAGTTGTTTCATCTGAGGCAAACTGACTCTGTGACTGATTACACCACTAAGTTCACGGAAATAATGCATTCTTTGTTAGCCCACAACACTACTTGGGATCCTGCTCTATTTCCTTCGCGTTTTGTCGATGGGTTGCGTGATGATATCCGCGTTGTTGCTTTGGTTCATAATCCGAAAGACCTCGATACTGCTGTTTCGTTGGCTTATTTACAGGAAGAGGCGCTGGAGATTTCCAAGCGACGGGAGCCCAGGCGCTCGGAGAGCATCACAGGCAATGGCATGAGCAGCCGAGCCCATCTCAAAGGGGCCGTGCCGTTGCCGGCACCTCCTGGACGGCCACCACCTGCGGTCGGTGCGCCGACAGATGAACGCCATGGAGCAGCTGCCGATGGCCCGAAGGGAAACAGCTCTGTGGAAGATCGACTGACAACGCTGCGAGCCTACCGTCGAGCCAGAGGTCTCTGCTATATGTGTGGAGAGAAATGGAGTCGAGAGCACAAGTGTGCAGCAGCAGTGCAACTTCATGTGGTGCAAGAGATGTTTGATGTGTTGGGTCTGTCTAGTGGCTTAATGGACGAGGAACATTCAGATACTGCAAGTGAAT